CAGTTCTGGGGATGTGCTGCATTGTTGGAGGTACTGTCCTTCGAGTGAGACGTTAAATCCAGGATCCATCTGCCCATTCAGGTGAGTGTTAAATATCCCATGCCACTATTCGAGAAGAGAATGGAGTAAGGCAAACATACCCTCAAATAAAACTGGTCGATCACTTCATGGTTGTTTGTAGGTCATAGTTTGCAAATTGGCTGTGGCATTCGCCTACAAATCACACAATCACTACACTTTGCAATACATTCGTGAAGCTCTTTGAGACAGCCTCCTGATATGAAAGGTGCTCAAATGTAAAACCTCATTAACATTTAACAGGTGAGATTACAGAAACTGATAATTTTAATACTAAAAAGTGAAAACTCACAGGTGATCTTATTGAGGAATCCCAAACCCTCTCATGTTTAGGATGACATAGAGTTTAAATATGGGATGGAGTAAACATTATTAGATTTACTAGATTTGGATTTATACTTCAGGGCAAAATGGATTGCTCTTTTATCTGTGGCAATAGAATTGAGTGTTGGAATTATTGGATTAAAGTACCTTTATGTGTCATCAATTTTTTTAATGTGTTATTTTGTAGATTTTGCTATACAGTCATAATATATTTCACACTTCCACACTGCCAGCTGTGCACCGTCATTGGATTTAATCAAGAGTTATAGTACATATACTTTCTGCATATTAGATGAAGTCTATTTTCTTAGGATGGTAATAAAAAATACACTTCAATGTAACAGGGAAACACAAATACATGATTGCAAAGGCATTCTATACAGAACATAAATCTACAGAACTAGTTAGTTCAGACCCACATTGAATCAATGTGGAGTCCTGTAGCTCAGTGGTTAGAGCACTCGCTTTGCAAGCGAGAGACCTGAGTTCAATTCCAGGCAGGGCGAAACCTTGGGCAAGTTTCCTTACTCCACACAGAGCCTAATAATAATCCTTCCAAAACCAAAACCAATAATAAATTGGTCATTTTCAATCTATGACTGTTTGTGGGACACTGCTGTGCGCAATTGGCTGCCGCGTTCGCCCACAAATATACAGTCAATTCACTTTACAGTGTGTTCTGTGAAGCGCTTTGGGACGTCCTCCCGACGTGAAAAGCGCTATATCAACTGCAAGGATTATTATTAATCATAGAATCATAGAATCTTACAGTAGAGAAGGAGGACATTCAGCCCATCGTGTTTGTGCCGGTTCTTTCTAAGAGCTTCCAACTAGCTCCACTCCCCCACTTTAACCCCATAGTCCTTTTCAAGTACATATCCAATTCCCTGTTGAAAGCTTCTGTTGAAGTTGTTTCCATACCCTTTCAGGCTATGTATTCCAGATCGTAATGACTTGCTGGATAAAAAAATCTCCTCATCTCCTTTATGGTTTCTTTGCCAATTATCTTAAATCTGTGTCCTTTGGTTACCAACTCATCTGCCTGAGGAAACATTTTCTCCTTATTTACCACGCACTTTTGTTTTGGCCAATTCTTCTGCCTTTTCAACATGGTGAGTTTCTTCCTGCTGGCCAGACTGATGATAAGCAAATGTAAGATTGGCACAGTGATTTAATTTATCATCACCCTTGCATTTTGATAACTACATATTGCAAGAAAATTTTAATTATCAATGCTAAATTGCTTCCATATCCACAATGAATTATTTGTGTCCTTGAATTTTTCATGCTGTGTCCAGTAGATTTTCCCCAGGAACGTCAGAAAAGTTATAATACATTTGAACAGTATTTTTACACTGAAACAAGCAAGCCAATAAAAAGACATATTGAATTTTATTGGTTTAAAAATAGCAAATGTTTTGAATTTTCAGATATTTGCTCAAAGTATTTCAAAACCCAGTTTAGAACCGTGAATATTCAGTGAAATATTCAAAGAGAGAATAACAAGCAGATTGGTGCATCTGAGCATGGCATCCTGTCTTTGATTATTTTATTTGGTTGCATTGCTATCTACTAGACTATTAAAGCTGAAACAAATGTTCAGTAAGTGAAATAAAACTGGGAGAAATGTATCATGAATAGTCATTTCATTTACTGTTGTACATGTAGGATAACAATAGATGACAACAATCAACCCAGGTTTTATTACATAACAAGTTGTAAATGCATAAAGGCAGTGCAAATAGCTTTTCGCTTGCATTTCAACATACTTTCGGAGCAGTACCAACATTCATTAACAATCCGTACAAACATTCCACATTCCTTATATAATCATTTCTGGACTCACAGTCCAGGCTGGCACCCAATTGGTGCATCTGAGCATGGCATCCTGTCTTTGATTATTTCATTTGGTTGCATTGCTATCTACTAGACTATTAAAGCTGAACAAAATGCTCAGTAAGTGAAATAAAACTGGGAGAAATGTATCATGAATAGTCATTTCATTTACTGTTGGACATGTAGGATAACAATAGATGACAACAATCAACCCAGGTTTTATTACATATTTATTACATAACAAGTTGTAAATGTATAAAGTCAGTGCAAATAGCTTTTCACTTGCATTTAAACATACTTTCGGAGCAGTACCAACATTCATAAACAATCCGTACAAACATTCCTCATTCCTTATATAATCATTTGGGAATCCTTATACAGTCCCACATCGGGACTATCGACTCACAGTCCAGGCTGGCACCCAATACAGTGCTTGGGGGTGTGCTGCATTGTCAGAGGTGTCATCTTTTGGCTGAGACATTAAACCGAGCATAAAGATCCCATAGCACTATTCAGAAAGAGAAGAAAGTTTCTTCTGGTGTCCTCTCTTACAAATCATTAAATTAAATTGGTTATTTATTTTTTTCATGGCTGCTTGTGGGATATTATTGTGTGCAAATTAGCCTCTGCAATAATCTGTAAAATACACAGTCACTACACTTTACAGTAAATACTGTGAAGTGCTTTAAGGCGTCCTCCTGACATGAAAGACATTATATCAAATGTAAGGATTATTGTTATTATTTCTCACTCTCTATTGCTCTACATTACTCCCGCAATTTTTGTTGTTAAAAATCAGTCAAGCTGTCAAAGAAAAAAATGGCTCCTCATGAAATGAATCTGTACTGCTTTAGCTTCTTCTGTACATGGGAGCTCAGATTATTTTGTGCAAGATTCCTATGTGCACAGGAACACCCTTAAGCCTTGCTAAGCACAGGGACTTATCCAGTTCCCTTTGAACAATTCTATTGATCCAGTTTCTTGTGTAATTAACTCCAAACCCCAACAACCCTTTAAGAGAAGAATGACCTAAATTGCCTACAAACTACAGTCAGTACACTTTACAACAACTTACACTTATATAGCGCCCTCCACGCAGGGTAGCGTCTCAGAGTGCTTAAAAGTGGCATAGCCTGATTCCGAGCCAGGGGGAGGTGGCCATAAGCACAGTCGAACAGGAAAGTTTTCAGGTGGAATTTGAAAAAGGGGAGGTGGCAAAGTAGAGGGATTGAGGGAGAGTGTTCCAGAGCTTCGGGGCGTAGTGGCTGAAAGCGTGACCTCCAATGGTAGAGCGGTGCGAAGGACAAGTAGGAGGCCGATGCCAGTAGAGCGGAGGTTCTGGGTGGTGGATTGGGGCGTGAGGAAGTCGGAGAGGTAGTTCATATAAAATAGTTTTTGCTTATCTACCCAATCAAGACTTTTCTACCGCATTGCCCCTCAATCACCTCTGATCCAGTGGAGAAAGCTTCAACTTGGCCAGACACTTTACATTGTCTCACATCTGATATCTTAGCAATGAATCTGTGATATTTTCAGAGGCGCCGTCCTTCAGATGAGACGTTAACCTGAGGTCCTGCCTACCTGTTCAGGTGGACGCTAAAGAACCCAAGGCACTATTTAATAATAATAATAATAGTCCTTGCATTTGATATAGCGCTTTTCACGTCAGGAGGACGTCCCAAAGCGCTTCACAGAAGTGAATTGACTGTATATTTGTGGGCGAACGCAGCAGCCAATTGCGCACAGCAATGTCCCACAAACAGTCGTAGATTGAAAATGACCAATTTAATTATTGTTTTTTTTTTTTGGAGGGATTATTATTAGGCGTGTGGAGTAAGGAAACTTGCCCAAGGTTTCGCTCTGCCTGGAATTGAACTCAGGTCTCTCACTTGCAAAGCGAGTGCTCTAACCACTGAGCTACTGGACTCCACAAATTTGAAAAGACACGAGGTTTCTCCCGGTGTCCTGGCCAACAACCCCCTAAATAAAAATTGGTCACTCACTCTACCGCTGTTTGTGGGGCATTGCTGTGCGCAATTGGGCAGCCCCGTTCACCGACGAACATGCAGTCACTTCATTTTACAGTAAACTCCTGAGAAGTGCTTTGAGACTTCTTTCCTGCGTGCGAGAGCGCGATCTACACCAAATGCAAGGATCGCGACTATTAAGAGTTAAAAAACAAGAGACCCAAGGAGCGCACAAATATAAATGAAGTCGGTGCTCTGAAGCCCTGGATGGTATGCGTGGAATTGTAATCGTTGTGTGCCTGGGGGCGGGTCTGAAGGACTGAAGGAAGGGTGGGGGCTGCCAGACAGGTGTCTGACTGCATCAAAGCTTTCACTGAGACCTTCAGCTTTTGTGTTGCACATCACAGATCCTCTAACTCATCCAACACCAGTGCTGCAGAGCTGAGCACTTCAAACCTTACTGCTCCACCTACCCTTTGCTCTGGAGTTTGCAAAATGATGGTTCTGTGCTAAAAAAAATATTAACGTAAAATTAATTTAGATTTCTTCTTTCCTGGACCCCCCCAATTTTTTTTAAAATTTTTTTTGGGGGGGTGTTTTAGCGATTTTGTTTCCCCCCCCCAAAAAAAAAGCAAGGCAGGACATTTCTGTCTATTTGATGTGTTATGGATAAGACAGACCAGGACTGAAGAAAGTTGGCTAAGTGTTAAAGGCGATGGATGGATAAGTCATCATAACAGGGCTGTGGCTGCCAACACTGCCAAACTGGGGGGAACAGACAAGAAAAGGTTCGAAATGGAGACAGTTTCGGATCTTCTGCTCAATCTCACAGTCACGTCGAGCCCAACAGATGCAGCGCAGGAGGGGAAGAGCAGGAGCGACCAGTGTAAGAGTGAGAGCAGCTCTGGGCCAGGGGGTGGGGGGGGAGCAAGACTGCCCCCTGTACAAGGCAACAGGGTGGGCAGTGGCGGGGAGGGGGGTTGGGGGGGAAATGGACAAGGGCAAAACTGCCCCCTGCACAAGGAACAGGTGGGACAGATGCAGTAAAATATTCCTTGGATTGAGTTTGTTTTTGTTTCAGATTTGGATCAGACTGTGCGGATCTTTCTTTACTGCCTCCTGTTTATGCTGAGTGTGTTGGGCAATGTGCTGATCATCACGGTGCTGCTGAGGAACAAGCGGCTGCGGACAGTGACCAACACTTTCCTGCTCTCCCTGGCGGTCAGCGACCTGATGCTGTGTCTCTTCTGTATCCCCTTCACCCTCATCTCCAACCTGCTCGAGGATTTCATCTTCGGGAGCGCCGTCTGCAAAGCTGTGCCTTACTTCATGGGTAAAAAAAACACACACACACACACAAATAGCACGATCTGTAAAAAAAAATTAAGCACATAATCTGTCAAAGCTGTTCCTCCTTTTTAAATCCCAATTGTGATTATTCATTCGAGTGTAATTAGTTAAAGCAGGGAACATTTTTATAAATAAAATATCTACTTTGCTGAATTTGGAGTTGGGAACAAATGGGACAGCCAGTGAAGCTTATTAAATCTAGATATCTATTACAATAATAATAATAATCCTTCACATTTGATATAGTGCTGTTGAGACGTCTCAAAGCTTTCACAGAATACACTGTAAAGTGAATTGACTATATTTTGTGGGCAGAATGCGGCGGCCAATTGCGCACAGCAGTGTCCCACAAACAGTCGTGGATTGATTGATCAAATTATTATTATTTTTGTCAGCACTTGATGTGACTTGGATATAATTAAGCACTCTGCATGAAGGGCACTATATAAATGCAAGTTGTTGTTGATGTAATTTTGTTGTTGTTATAAAAACTCACTAATTGGCAAAATCGACACAACTTTACCCTTCATTTACATGCTTCTCTCAACCTGTTTTTCCGTTAGCATAAACCAATTTTATTCTCCAAACGGCAGGAGGAGATAAGCTAAGAAGCATGGCATCTCTGGAATCTTTATTACAACTGGATATTTATTAGCAGTCAGGCTGAACCAAGAGGCAATACACAGCAATACAAAAACTGTTGGCATTAATGAATTAGGTTTGCTCCTTGGCTCTTTGTTTACACGCTGAGCAAAATAGTTCTCATTCTGAATAATGTAATGCAGCCACTGAGGTTGTTATGTTGTTGCCACATTTTTGTTATGTTGTTTTCATTTCACTATCCTGATAATAATAATAATAATCCTTGCATTTGATGTAGTGCCTTATCATGTCATCGAGATTTCTGATTGAGGAAGTGCAGGATTTAAATCTTGTTAGAAGATTTTTTGGGAGTTGCAATTTCAACAATTATCTTTGGCTTGCTGATTTGGATTCATACTCGAAACGGCTTTCGCAATTATAAAAAAAGGCACTGTTGTTCTTCATTGACACGGAATAAATTGTATCAGTAAATAGCTGGAAGATTTATAAAATGCCTGGAACATGCAATGAGTGTTGTGCAGAGAGCTGGTCTGTTTGATAGATTTTCTCAGTTTTTTTTTAGATATTTATTGACATAGGTGGAACATCAGGACTGATAATGTTTCAAGTAGACATTCTGCATAACCCTTAAAATGGAAGTACCCAATTGATTTCCAGTGGTCCTATAGCCTTTCATCTATCCCCCATGTACTTGATAGCTCACCCATTGCAGCTTCCTGAAAACACTTGCTACCATTTCCTGCCCACAGACAAACTTCAACAACAACAAATTATATTTATATAGGGTCTTTCACATCGGGAGGACATCCCAAGACGCTGGAAAGTGAGACAGTCTTAAAAGCACACATCAGTTAGCAGATTTATACATAGCACTAAGCTCAAGGATGTGACGAATGGTGTGATGATCAAATAATCTGCCTATCTAATTTGGTAATTTGAATTATTCACTAAAATAGAAAAAATATTCTGTAATTGTTCACTTTGTATCAGGTATCATTGTTAGTAGTTCCAATGCTAGTTTATCTTGTTGCCCAGCTTTCAGTTCAGTTAGCCTTATGGATCGTGCTCAGCAATTATTGGGGCTAAACCTACTCAAACATTTTCTGAATAACTGATTTTATGCAAAACTATATACCCATCACCAGGCTTAACAGTATCCAAATCCGGCTGACAGTTCTATACATGCTATCTATATAATAGAATGTACCCGTGTCTGGAATGGAATGGGCACTCTCTGCTTGGAGGGATGCACTCTGCTTACTTAATTCTGGAGCATCTTAAGCATAGGTTGGCAAGAGCCAAGGCTTGGAGACCCCAGAGTGTAGGCTGAATTACTGCTGGAGTTTAATCAGCTAAAATGCACAGCTTGTTATTGAAAGCATTTCTGGCAAGCTTTCTGGTGCTTGTTCAGCTAGGAACAACTTCTCCGTTTAGGCTTTGGCTTTCAGGATTAACAGGAGCTGAGTGAGAAGAATCTCTGACACAGGGTCTGCCCTTCCAAGTCCTGCCGATGGCTGGTCTGTCATCATCAATGCCCTTGAGTATTCGGATCTGTCTTGCTCAGGAATGGGAATGCTGAAAAACCCCACATGGAATAACTCAAAGATCATGTTTGATTGCTTGCAAATATTACAGATACATGTAAATATCCCTTTGTGCATTGCATAAAGCATATCCAAAGAGATATATTCAAAATTCTAAAGATATTTTAATACCTAAAAATAATGTTCAGCATAATTACAAGATTCAACACAAATTAAATGTTTGAAGGGATGCTGTGTTTATAAATATGATTTTTAGAAATCTTTTCTGTGTACCAGTCACTTCAATGTGATGATACAGTCATATCACATATCTTGACAAGAATAATAATAATAATAATAATCCTTGCATTTGATATAGCGCTTTTCATGTCGGGAAGACGTCCCAAAGCGCTTCACAGAACACACTGTAAAGTGAATTGACTGTATATTTGTGGGCAAATGCGGCAGCCAATTGCGCACAGCAATGTCCCACAAACAGTCGTAGATTGAAAATGACCAATTTATTATTGGTTTTGGTTTTGGAGGATTATTATTAGGCTCTGTGTGGAGTAAGGAAATTTGCCCAAGGTTTCGCCCTGCCTGGAATTGAACTTCAGGTCTCTCACTTGCAAAGCGAGTGCTCTAACCACTGAGCTACGACAACACAAAACCCTATGTGCCCTTGCTGTATCATTAAAATAACATGGGTTTCTTTGGCTAATCTTTCTCTGCAGTCTTAAAGATGATCTTTGAAAGATTTTGCTAAATCTTGCTGCAGTCACTCACACCAACCAATGTTAACTGAAAGTAAAGCACTTCAATGGGCCAACATATATTGGGATATAAAAATGAGAGAACATGCATTAAACTATGACCTTGAATTTAGCAAATTAAAAGTGATTTAGCAAATTTGACTAACTTGATTAAGTATATTCTGTGAAATTCTTTAGATTTGTATCAGCCTTGCTCAGTGGTAGTATTCTTGCCTTTGAGTCAGAACTCGTGGGTTGAAGCTAGTGCTGTATGGTTAGAGGTGCTGTCTTTTGGATGAGATATTAAACTGAGGTTAAGGTCTGTAAGGTGGACATTAAAGATCTCATGGTGCCATTCAAAAAGAGAAACAAGTTTCTCCCAGGGTTCTGGCCAAAACCCCAGATAAAGTTGGTCATTCATTTCAGGCCTATTTATAGAACATTATTGTGCAAAGGTTCACTACTACAATAAATACAATAGATCCTGTGAAACATGAAAGGTGCTATATCGAATATAAGGGTTATAGATTTAGACAATTTTTTTAATTATAGAACATTTTGAATATAATTATTTAGTCTGTACACGAACACATTTTAAAACATTTTTAAAGATAATCATATACTTTAACTAGTACATAAACATCAAGAGTTAGTTAATACTACAGTGATGATTGGGTCTGAAGTAGGAAGAGGTAAGTCCACAATTACGTAAGCCTTGAATTGTTTGCCATGGCAATCAAAATGATAATTTTGCTTTCACTGATAAGATTTTGTCTTTATTCTTAGGTATTTCTGTTAGTGTTTCGACCTTCAGTTTGGTGGCAATTTCTCTGGAGAGATACAGTGCTATTTGTAAACCACTCAAATCCAGGGTCTGGCAGACCAAGTCTCACGCCTTCAAGGTGATCACTGCTACTTGGCTGTTCTCATTTACTGTCATGTTACCATATCCCATCTATGGCAACTTAGTGCCCTTCACGAGAATCAACGACAACAACAGCACAGGCAACATGTGCCGTCTTCTCTGGCCCAATGATATCACACAGCAATCCTGGTAACCATAATGAATGTTGAAATTATTCCAAATCTATCAATTCAAAAAGTTTAGCCAAATTGGAGTTCTTGCATTGGGTAACTTGTTCAATACCTGTTTCTTCCAGGTACATTTTTCAGCTACTGCTTCTCTCTTTGATCCCTGGAATAGTGATGATGACAGCATATGGTCTAATCTCATGTGAACTGTACAATGGGATCCAGTTTGAAATGAGTCAGAGAAAGCGCAACCAAGGTAAAGTTAGCGTTAAATGACAATGGGCAGTGACATTGCTAAAATGCACCCGGACAGTTACTGACTACAATGGTCTGGTTTTCTTATTGAAAAGGTAACATTTGTACACTTTCTTATGTCCTGACATTAAAAGGAAATATATTACTAGTTCCCAGATATGTCAGGCAGAGCAGAGCACTGTTTTAAAAAAAAACAGAAAGCAAGTTGATTGAATGACCTCTACATTACAAGTATAATTAAGATCTAAATAAAATTGCTCCCATTTTTTCCATGTTTTACTCCCAGAGAGAGAAAGCAGTACCACAAATAGCGTCAGCATCAGCAAATACGAAGATGGAGATGGGTGTTACAGACAGAATCTGAAACGGAACAGAACAATTGAATTGCAACGCTTATCAAATACCAGAACAGTCAAAATCAATAGGATAAGAAGTAACAGTTCCACTGCAAACCTTATGGCCAAGAAGAGAGTGATTCGGATGTTGATTGTGATAGTGGTCATGTTTTTTATCTGTTGGACACCCATACTCTGTGCCAATGCTTGGCGAGCTTTTGATAAAGTTTCTGCTGGCAGAATTCTGTCTGGGACAGCAATTTCATTCATTCATCTGCTCTCCTACACCTCTGCCTGTGTAAATCCCATCATCTACTGTTTCATGAACAAGCGATTCCGTATGGCTTTCCTGGCAACTTTTACTTGTGGCACCAAAAAGCAAGCGCATATTCGGGAAATAGAGGAGGAAGCCGGTACAACTGGTAGCTCTACCTCCAGATGTACCAATGTCAGTGTGTCAGCTCCCTGTTGACTGCTGGATACTACATCTGCACATAGTCTTTAAGTAAGGAATTTACACAAATAGGATGTGTTTGTTATTTAGTGCCCCTGCATCAGTTGTTTATGTTTACATGGAATGTAACTTTTGAAAGTATAAAAGGTATTTTTGTCTATTGCCTAAGTGTTGCTTCAAACATTCTACAAATGGAGAAATGAGGGTGAGCAGATGATCTACATGGGAGAATCACATAGTGTTCAACAAAGCTTCAGAAAATCCTCAAGAAAATATTTCATTGTTCCGATAAACTTTTGTTGATGTCTCAGTCTATTATTTTATACTTTTTTTTATCTCAGGTGAGATTGATATCTTCTCCAAAAAAAACTTCATTATGAAGTTACAAATAATAATAATAATAATCCTTGCATTTGGCCAAGGACTTTATCACATCATTCAAAGCTCTCAAAACAGGATTTATTAGAGTATGATGACTGTGTATTTTGTAGTGACCCCATCAGGACTGACGCAAAAAATAAGCCTATTGTGTCTGCAAAAGCATTTTTGAAAAGTTAGATTGTTATGTGTGCATAACTTTGTTGTATGGTTTGGAAATACTGAGCCTAACTTCAAAAATAGTGCATTTTATCAGTGGTTTGAAGAGCAGTGCAGCAATTGCCTTGAAAGTAAATTGATTTTTTGGGGGGTAATCATGAATTTTTTACCTAGGACTCACCAATGTTGGGATAAGTTATACTTTTTCATCTCCCCCCACCCCCCATACTGAGATGAAAATAGGTCACTCGCTATGCTGTTAAATGTGTCCATTCTTACTGCAACCATATCTTATGCAGTCTGTCCTTGACACAAGCCATTTGTTTCTGTGTAACTGAAATTTGTGAGATCTTTACACCTGTGCGACCTTATATTATTCCAAGATATGGCACAAGGTACTGCTGGACTTTTCTCCCAGAATTCTGAAATACATTACGTATGTATTCTCTGTTTCTGTTGCTCATATTTTTTCCCCCCAAACCCAGTTGTGATTCTTGCCAATAATGTTAACGAACGTTAACTATATTTTGGAAAGTAAGTGGAACTAATGTTTTTGATACCATATATAGAACTAGGCTACTGAATAATGAATTGACCATGAAATTAAATTGAACTTGAAATTCTGATGTAAAAGCGCATGAGAAACTGTAAACTGTAGATTCTAACCTATTTTCCTAACTTTATCCTCTTCCTCAAAGTGAGGAAGGTTTCATGTGCCATTTTACACTTGTGTGCATGGGTAGGGTGTTTGATGATCAAGACGGGGGAAAGCATCACAGTTGAACCACCCGCCACCATTTCTGTTCTCTCCTAATATCCACCATCAGCACTGGTTGTTAGATAACAATTGGGAACAGGAGCTCTAGCTGATTTTTCACATCTCTGAACCAAGTCCACTGTGTCTACTAATAGGAATCCTAACTGTCAGGTGAGAAGAGCTAAAGTGGTACAGACCAGGTATTCAACCTTAAGTCTTCTGGTCTACATAACAACAACTTGCATTTACATAGCACCCGTCACCCGAGTAATATCTCAGAGAACTCAAACAGAGGTGTGTTTTGACACCAAGCTGGAAAGAGAGGGGAGGTGACTGAAGGCCAGGTCAAGGCGGTGTGACTTGAAGAAGGGCAAACACAGGGATTGAGGCAAGGAGTTCCGGAATTTCAGACATTACAACAACTTGCGTTTATATAGAGGCCCTCACGCAGGGTAGATTCCCAGAGCACATAGTGGCTGAAAGCACGTATTATTTGGATATATGTATCAGAAGAGTGTGAACAGCAGAGTGTGCTACACACTTGTTATGCAGCGTTTAACAGTTTCTTTGTATATAACAAAATTGGATAAATGTATCTAATACATGTACAATACACTGAATGCAGATGATTTTATCCTCAGGTTATTGAAGCAGCTTTCAGAAGATAATTGCCTTCTCTCTAAGAAAGCATTGCCTCACTGTCTCCTCTTAAATCATTTGAAGCCTTGCAGTTTGTTTATTGTTATAACTGTAATATTTTGTTGATCATATCAGTTTTAAATATATAAAGAGTGCAGAGAATTTCAAATTCCTCTACCAAATGTAAATCAGCAAAATCTCCAAATGATGTATAATGTAATTAGTTTAAAGAATTTTTGAACACAATATCTGCCATCTTAATTTATTTAGATAGCGTTTAGCAATGTTTTAGAATCAATTGACTTTAAGCCTGAATGTCAGTCATCAATTGTACAATAGCACCAAGTTAGAATCAATATTTTCTCCCAAATAAGGGTATGTCTAAATGATGACTGAGAGTTTATGACCTTGTTGTATTTTTGGTTTTTGTGGTCAAATGTTACTCCCTGTAAGTCTTTTTATCAGTTTATGGAGTGTGCTTAGTGTAGTTTTTTGTTGCTTTGAGTTCTTTCAAACTCCATGAACCGACTTCAAAGTGTTCCATTTTAAAAGTGCTAACATGTAGATCTCTGGAACAGATGTGCCAGAAGTGTGAAAAAGTTACTTGTAAACAATATAATTGTGATCCGTTAATAATATTAAAGTGATTTCAATATCCTTATTTCTGAAATGTGTTATACTTCCTTAAATTCGGACATTTTGGAGTCAATTTTAGAATCTTAGTTTAACATCCGTTTCAAAAGAGGCGCCTCCAACAATACAGCACTCCTCCTCAGCACCACACTGGACCATCAGCCTAGACTATAGGAGTTCCAAGTCCCAACATGGGCCTTGAGCCCACAACCATCTGACTCAGGGGCGAGAGCGCGACCACAATCCGCGACTGTTTATGGGACACTGCTGTGTGCAATTGGCTGCCGCATTTTGCCCACAAAATATACTTTACAGTATATTCTGTGAAGCGTTTTGAGACGTCTAAAAGATGTGATAGGATGCTATATCAAATGCAAGAATTATTATTTCTTAAAGAAAAGTGCAGTTAAAAGCCGAAATCCGCAATGGTTACAGCAGAACTAATGGACTGTGAACAGGCAAAAGACCAAGGTTCATCCAGTTTGCCTTCCATGTCGCATGACATATCGTGTCTCAAACTATATATTGTATACTAAGATTTTATTTTCTAACAAAAATCTATCTAATTTGTTATTGAAAGAATCAACACTTTCTGCTTCCACCGTCTCCCTAGAGAGCCTGTTCGATACATTTACTACTCTGTGTTGTAGTGTTTAAAACTTTCTTTGTACATAATAAAATTCATTCAATTAACGACAAAGTATTTCTGAATGTTCATCAAGGTAAAAGCATTTGAGGTGTTATCCAAGATGAAAATGCTTTCATAGTGCCAATATATCTGCTTCAGGACTTTGCATGGGGACTTGGGAGCAGCTTTTGTTAGACAACAGTGCTAATACAACAGAAGTCAGTTGGAGAAGTTGTGATTCCAATGATATATGTCTCCAATTAAATTGTCACCTCTATTAAACAACTGTCATCTATATCTATTGCCATTTTTCACTCTTCTTCAGGAAATTGTTTTCTTTTATATAAAAAAGATTGATCACCCATAGATATGTGACCCTTAACAATGAGGCAATCGTTGACATATAAAGATTATTTGTCAACAAGCACAGGGAGAAAGTGCAACGTGTGATGTGTTAATTATTACATACTCCATTTTTCCCTCCACAGAAAGAATTTTGTTTTCATCAGCATGAGGTTTAATTGATTGATCACGTGGAGTTTGAACCACACATTTATAGAAAGAAGGTAAAATAACAACAAAAGCACCAGAATTCAATAATATCAGCAATTTTGGAACACAGCATTTTAAGGAAGGTATCCTGGCACGATTTGACTATTCATGCAACATTGATCATTGTTATTTTCCATTTCCCATGAAGTAGACAGGATTGGACCATTTATCAAATGTTTTTGGTGATGCATTGAAGAACATTAATAATAATCATTCAAAACTCCGTCATCCGCATTCTCACCCATAACAAACTTTGTACCCTGATTACTCCAGTCCTTACCAAACTTCACTGGTTCCCTGTCACAGAGCAGATCAACTTCAAGATCCTCACTCTAGTGTTTAAATCCCTCCATTCCTTGGCACCTCCCTATCTTTCAAACCTCCTCTCTCCCCTCAGCAGTACCCGCTGCCTCCGCTCTACTGGGTCCAGCCTCCTCGTGTCCCCCGAATCCTTTGCTCCACCATCAGCGGCCGTGCCTTCAGCCACTACACCCCGAAACTTTGGAACACCCTCCCTCAACCCCTTCACCTCGCCCCCTCCTTCCCCATTTCAGGTCGCGGCTGAAGACCTTTCTCTTCGACTGAGCCTACGGTCACCTTCCCTCCTCCTGGCTCGGCCTCGGGTTCCGCTATTGTTAAGTGCTCTGAGACGATGCCCGGCGTGGAGGGCGCTATATAAATGCAAGTCATGTTGTTGTCTGTGCTTCGTCCTGCTTCATCTTGCTGTAATGTTTCAACACTGTTAATGTGCTAAATTGAGAGGAGGGAATTCATTTAAAAGATGTCTGAGACAAATTTTGCCATCACAAGGAAAAGGATAAAACTACTGTTGTGTTTGGAGTCCTGTAGCTCAGTGGTTAGAGCACTCACCTTGCAAGTGAGACACCTGGGCTCAATTCCAGGCAGGGTGAAACCTTGGGCAAGTTTCCTTACTCCACACGCCTAATAATAATCCTCCAAAACAAAACAATGATAAATTGGTCATTTTCAATCCACGACTGTCTGTGGGACACTGCTGTGCACAATTGGCTGCCGCGTTTTGCCCACATATATACGGTCAATTCACTTTACAGTGTATTCTGTGAAGTGATTTGAGACATCGAGAAGATGTGAAAAGCACTATATCAAATGCAAGGATTATTATTATTGTTGTTGTCGTAATCGTTGCAGTTGATATATCTTATCACATCTTCGAGACAACTCAAAGAGCATCACAGAATTTACTGTAAAGTGAATTGACTGTATATTTTGTGGGCGAAACACAGCAGTCAATTACACACAGCAATGTCCCACGAATAGTCGTGGATTGTGTGACCAAATTATTATTACTTTT